TATATAAACAATAAGCAATTTATATATACAAACAACTTATTTAATTTGTATTACATTAATGCATATAAATATATATCATATACATTTTAACTTGGTGTTCATTTAAAAGTCCATAGACACATTATGCATCAACTACCCATTTACAAACAATTACAAATCAGAATATTTTTTTGCGGGAATTCAAAATGTTTTGCAAATCATTGCCAAAAAAAAGTCCAGGAACTACTAGACGGAAAAACTACTAAATGGGGAAACTGATGTATTTGTATTTTGATTTGAGAGCAAAACCACTGTCCTACTTCGGACCTATAGAAGCACTATTCTAATCATATTTTTGAAAAAAAAACCTACAGTAAATGTCATGTCCTTCAATCTCACCTTGACATTGTAAACTGTTCTTTAGTAAGACTGCACTGTGTAACTATGAAATTCTAAACATAATATTTAATTGTGTACAGTCATACAATAAATCCATATCACAGAAGAATCCATTTGAATGACATGCTTTAGATATGATCACTAACCTAAAAAAACTTTGATTTTACAAACAAATAGGCTAAAAAATATTAACTATGAACATGACTGACATCAAATTAAAACAGAATTCAGAGACACACTTACAGATAAAAGTCTAAGTGGGTAGAGAACAGTCATACCTTGGTATTTCAGGTGTGCGGGATGTGATAGAGGTTAGAGGAGAATAACATACAGTTTGCTGCTCTTCCCCTCTTACATATTTGACCTGGGTAGGGAAGGCAAGACCAGTGAAAGGTGTGGCTTCATGTGACACACACCAGAGCAACTGAACCTGAACTGTCAGCACAGCTATGTCAGTGTAGTTTACAGTAGGGGTGTGTCTTCATGAGGTCTTTCCCAAAAAGCGCTTAGTAATGAATGGCAGGACATCAGCAGCCAATTGTCTGTCTTAGGAAACTATGTGAAAGCCACCATAACAACCTCCACCGAGACGGCAAGATAAAACTGTACATTTCAGGCAATTTTGAAATCCCGACCAGTACATGTCTGGAAAAAAGAGAACGTATAATCACTCTAAAATTGAGTAAAGTAAGGAAGTATGTACTTGGTTAATTTTATTTAACTTCTTAACTTAGGATTTTATTTAATTCCATGTGTAAAATTTATTTGAAAAATCTGAGTGAAACTCAAACTTGCAAAAGAAAGTGTAGATAGATGGATGCATACTCATTTGCACTGTCTGCACGGACAATTAATGAAACGAGAAGTAATCAGCATAATCATCTGACATGGAATTTGCTATCCTGTGCTTTATTTCCTGCTCCCTGATTGCAGCTTTATCAGGTACTCATTCATTTACTTTTGAATCAGTATTAAATGTGAAATGTGCATATAACTGATCTTGATTCATTTAGTCTGAAAATAGCCACAAAATCGTGTGTTTATGAGAAAATAATAGACATGGTTATTTGGTGACATATAAAGAGATTAATTAATTCATAAATTCAACATAAGAAACTGTCTTAGAAAACATCAAGCTCTGTTATTCTACAAGGAATATGTTTCACTTCTACCTGCCTGGAGGTTTCTGGTGATCCTGTAGACCTTGATTAGCTGGTTCAGGTGTGTTTAATCAGAGCGGGAACTCGGCTGGAAAGTGGCCCTCCAGGAGCAGGATTGGACAGCTCTAATGTTAATTATAGAAACTGTAAAAGATATCGAAGCATAGATTAAATAGATTGAACATAATTAAATAACACAAAATCATTGTCATAATTTAGTTTTTGTCAAGCAGTTTGAAAAAGTGAATCATATTGTTTAACATTTTAACATTCAAGTATGTGACCGTATACTGTATATATGACGACTGAAATGACATCCAGATGTAGGTTATGTCATTAGATATTCATCAGATTTCTTAAATATCCTTTTTGTTCCACTTTATTAAAATTTCATAGAGAGAGAAAGAGAGAGAGAGAGAGAGAGAGAGAGAGAGAGAGAGAGAGAAAAAACAAAAGAGAGAGAGAGAGAGAGAGAGAGAGCAATCATTGAATGTAAAACTTCCCATTGATTGTGTTAAATAAAGTGTCTTGACTACTGGAAAGGTGCCTCTGCTATTTTAAGTGATTTTAAGCATTTTTATACAATGTTTTACTGTAATTTTTGTTTAAGAATTTGTTGATGTAACCTATCACTATATATAATTATATTATCCTCAATATTGTTGTAAGAAAATAAATTTAACGAACCTTATGGTTCAACGGATCAACCTTATGGTCCAATGGATCAACATTGCATAACCATTGACGATAGATAGATAGATAGATAGATAGATAGATAGATAGCAGGGATGGATAATGACGCAGCGGTGCCCTAGGCACGAATCGATTAAAGGCCCCCTTCGGTATGTTTTCCTTTTTTATTCGAAATATCTCCAAACGATTCTCAAAAATGTGTAAGTAAATTTTGCATCTTTATAGGTCATGTTAGTTGAACTATAATGGGCGATTGGCAAAGTAGCCTAAGTAGCCTAATAAGTGTTAGTGTAAAGATGGGGATTCTGCAATTAACAGTATTTATTTATAATGTGCAATAATTGTATTTATGGGCTACCACTTAATAGGTGCAATAATTTGATTTAGATGCCGCTAATCACCATGTGCATTATCAATATCTATATGCCGCTGTCAATTCCTTTTAGTGCTATATTTTTAATAGCCTATGCTGTAGCATCTTTCATTATATTTTTACATTTTTTATATTTTTATACTGATTCTATACAGTAGGAGGCTACATGTTTTAGTTAGTACAGTATTAATAAGCCAGTGGAACTGAATTTCGTTCATATGTGCACTCTGTGTGTACAGTTGAATGACAATAAAGCTATACCTACCTAGCCTACTATATTAATCACGCATAAAACCCATCTTTTTACTTAAGTACCAGATACGGGTGTCCTGCCATAATATTTTTAATATGACTGACTTTGTATTTAATGTGGATTTAATCAAAACACTGTAAGTTACTAATTAACACTTTCAGAAAGAGAAGAACATTATCATTGACTTCAGTCTAGCCAGAGTTTAAGCACTCTCAGAAACTCCCATTATAATCACTGAAGCAGTTTACAATGTGAAATTAATCTCTTACTTACATTTGTACATTCACATCTGCACTTAGTTGTTTCGGATGAGAGAATTCGCCAGAGAGCAGAATTCAGTCAGGGAGCGCGCGCACTAAACAAAACACCGCGTTTCAGCAATGACTCATCTGAACGCCTCTGATTGGCCATTGAATTAATAAGCTCAACAGACTCGTCTGTGATTGGTCATAATATAATGCTCAGCGCTGTAAAAACGGGTCTTTCTCTGGCTCAGCGTCAGTTTGAATTTAGCAGCTGATGATGTGCTGCACTGAACGTTCTAATCACACCAGCGTGATCGTATCAAATAAAAAAAAACATTATTCAGCTTTTTTTTTTTTGTCTTTTGGAAGCTGCATTCAAAATCCAATTGGCTCAACAATCTCAGTCTGAATGGGCATGACAGAGGCGTCCCTCACGATTGAAATCGCTTTCTGGGAAGAGCGGTATTTCGGCAGGGTCCCCCTCTGGTCTAGTGCCCTGGGCACATGTCCGGTAGATCCGTGCGTTAATCCGTCCCTGATAGATAGATAGATAGATAGATAGATAGACCTTTCTTCACTTTAGCACTGACGTTTCTCACCACTAGATGGGGCAAGAAATTAAAAAAAAGCATTTCACGTCATATTTTGCGGTCCTTCATTTAAGAGACATTTTATATTTCTAATTTAGAATTTATACTTTTCTCACTGCATTAAAAATTGGTTTAATTTTAGGGTACCTGTCCATATTGTGTTGATAGGAACATATTTTAATCTAAAATGTTATTTGATAAATACAATTGTCCACTAGGCTGTATCATTATTTGTTTTGACTGAGCAGAACTTCAGTCCCTGCACAGGTGAAGATGTTCTCTCAGTCTCACATCTGTTACTCTCACTGAAGCTGAGGGTGATTCATTGGAGAGTAAATGACTTCAGTGGTGCTGACACAAACCATTGTCTGTCTGTAACACACTGAAGGGAGGAGGGGAAATGTCGTCTCAGTATTTGTGTCCCCAGTCAGAGGACATTCACTGACCTTATTACATGTGCACTTCCTCTCACATAACCTTTTCTCACTCTCTCTCTTCCTGCTTTATGGACATCCAAATACATATTTTATTTTGTCTCATACCTGCAGATCATGAGATATAGAAATTTCAATGTATAAAGCTACACTTCAATCTGTTGTGCCCTTAGCATTACAATTTAGAAAATGTTCTCAAAAATGGTTCATCTATGGAATCGCTGTGAAGACTCCTTTATTTTTAATAGTGCAGTGTGAGTGGTTTGTGTAGATTACGATTAGCAACGGTTGCACAAGCAATAATATGGTAATATCCACTTAAATGTTTGTCCATTCTGCATTATCATGTTTCTAACTGTCTAAGATTACCTTACAGTGAGGTATGCATTAATATGTTTTCGTTTCAAAAGTTTCACTGTGTTGTTTAAAAATGACATGAAAACGGAAGTCTCCAAGGTTTAATTAAAGCTCTCCCCGCAGATGTGACTGCTCTCGCCAAGACAATTGCCAATTATTTTTCACCAGTGAGCAGGAATGTTACATCTGAGAAGAAATCAAATCGGTACAGGTATACAGAAATTATATCATAGATAGATATACAAAGATATAAAGAGAAAATGTGGGTTGCAAGTCAATCCTATGTTTACAAGTACCAGGTTAAGCTATTTTCAGGGCTGTAATCACTCTAGGTATTGAGGGGGACCCATGTGACTCTTTATGGAAATAAAGTACTTTAAAAGAATATACTAACTGAAGGTAATGTTTTTCGAACACTTAATTAAAATTAAATAAAAATGTATTATAGCTTAAATGTATATTAAATGCAATTAGCTGAACTTTAAAGTGCTTTTTGACCCACTTAAGCAGGACTTTAAAGCACATTATTTCAAAGTGCAATTTTTAAAAGTGTACTCAAGTGTTAAGAAACAGTCATGAAATTGGACTCTCTTTAAGTACACTTAAGCAGATTTTTATTTCATTGATATTATATTACGTACAAATACACTTTTTCTTTTTAAATAGACCTTTAAGATTTTAATACTATGGTCTGGTTTCACACTCAAGGCTTAGACTAAGCCAGATTTAGGCCATAGTACAATTAGGACATTTAAGTATCTTTTATAAACATTCCTTAGAAAAAAAAAAAACATTACTGGTGTGCATCTTGAGACAAAACAATGGTACTGATATATTTTAAAATATATCAGTGCAAGTTTCTTTTAGTTGAAACAGCTCAGACATGCATTTTAGTCCGGGACTATAGGCTTAAGCCATGCCTGTGAAACCGAAGATACAAGTACACTTTCAGTAAATTAAGTGCACTTCTTTTTCCACATGCCCCAATATTTATTATATTTATAATTATATATTATAATTAATTATAATATATAATATATAATTATATATTATATTTATTTAGTTATTGTTTGTGCTTTTGTTGTGATTTTTAACTCCTACATTTTTTACCTTACCTCTCCAAGGTTACATCCCTCGTTCTATTGTGATAAAGGTCACTGGTAATAGTGCTTAAGTGGTAACTGAAATAGTAGGTGCGTCCCAAATCACGTACTTATGCACTATTCTATGACGTTTTTTTAGTATAAATAGTGCGAGTAGTGCGTTCACACTGAAAATTCCAAAAAGAAAAAGTGCACTTTAAATACCCAGATGATGCACTTAAAAAACTAAAGCCTTGTCCAAATACCCACACTTGCAGTCTTGGCCACTTGAGAGCACGTACAAGTGCAAAGACTGCAAGTGTGGGTATTTGGACAAGGCTTAAGTGTGGAATGTTGGACACTTCATGCACTCAACAGTTGCAGCTTTAATTACGTAGCGAAGGGGGAGGGGCTATCAGACTCCGATTATGAATGACAAAATAACATCATTCATGAACTACATGGTTGAGTACATAGTGCATAAGTGCATAGTGTATGAGTGCATAGTGTATAGTGCGTCATTTGGGACGCAGCAAGTATGCCAGAAAACATGCCGTAACATAATCCATGGAAACGCATTCTGACAACAAGACTAGGTTTTGGTGTGACCAGCTGACATGAAGGGGTTTATTTTTGTATTAAGGACTGGCTAACTGTCATCATTTATTCACCCTTATGTCATTCCAAACCTGAATGAGGCTACTTTCTTCTGTGGCCCATAAAAGACAATATTATGAAGAATTTTGGTAACCAAGCAGTTTTGGTGACCACTGACTTTAATTGTATTGTATTGTATTGGGTGAACTATGTCTTTAAAGTATGACTACTGAGCAAATAAATGAAATAATGAGTTGAAATTATATTTAGTATGTGAGGAAAGAGTGTCGAGTCCTACAGCTGCATGCTGCTGTTGGCCAATCAGAATCAAGAATTCCAGAATAATATGCAAATACAATATAAACCTATAAAAGATCTTATCAAATACGCCTGATATTACCAGATATAGCCAGAAATGAATGGCCCATGTTATTGTCAGAGCATAATAATAACCATACAAGTGTATTGTATGTAGGATTCATCATGCCCTTCCCTTGTAAGGAAATAATTTCGCTGGATGTGTGTTTTTGTAACCGTTCAGTAAATTCAAATTCTTATTTGAGAGAAACGAACGTCAAAGCATCCAAACCCGCATCTGACGCCTCATACTCAGCCGTTTCATTACTACAGCGGGCGCGTTTCAAAATCTATCGAGTCCCCTAGCTGGACAGCACTCTAGGCGCGTTTAGAATCTTCGCTCGAGCTCTCGAATTGTGTCTAGGTAGGCCGCGCACTGCGTTTCGAAACACAGCCGGTATGTGCTATGGATGGGAATGTATCCCAGCATGCTTGACAGTCAGCGACATGAACAGGGAAGGATGATGAAGCTAAGATGGCAGCGCTACTAGGGTTGCTGTCTTTACGGGGTCGAGAAAAACAGCAGGAACACCCGCGAAGCACGGACGCCAGCTCGCGCTTTTGACTGATTTCACTTCAGGCAGTCGGATCGCCTGCAGTCGAGGAAATAACGGTCGGGTTTTGACCCGGGCGAAGGAACGGATGCGTATTTCGCAGTTGCAGCAGCGCGGCTAACCGTAAACGTCGTTTTAATTGGAGGTGCTCGGATGTAATTCGCCGGGTGTTTTTGCGGAGCGGATTTATGGGGTGTGCTTGGGACTTTTGAGTTAGCTCTGTTGACTGACATTGTAATCTAATATATGCGTTGTTCCCCTAAACGATGATGTGTGCTGCTGCGGCAGCGGGTGCCGGTGGCAGCGGGATCCCGTCCTCCTCGTCCCACTCCATGGGGCTGGGAGGCAGGGTCATTCCCGGAGCTGGAAACGATTTCGCATCGATCGGATCAGGCATGGGCTCCTGTCCCGTTGTGGGGGCCCGCTCGGATTGTCGGAGCCGCTACCAACTGCTTCTCTCAGGGCGAGCACTGGCGGAGCGGTACCGGAGGATTTACACCACCGCGATCAACGACAAAGAGCAGGGGCTGAACCTCGGCAGGTGGGTCTGATTTACCGGCTCGGTTCGGGATGACAAACCGGCCAAGATGGCGTGCGGCTGGACGTTTTTGTAAACAAAACCCACAGGGTTAAACCTGAGCTCATTTGAGCCAAACAGCAGTAAGTTAGCAGTTAGCATGCGGCTAACTTCCTTAGCGAGCGCAGCTAAAACGCTCGTTTCATCTCATGCAGGTCAACGGAGAAGCTCAGTTTGTGTTGCTTTTGATTTATGCACTATTTAAAATCACCTTCACTCTGCTGTCACGGTCAACAATGCCGTTTTGAGAGATCTTGCACAACTAGATCAATAGTGATAGCTGTTAAGCAGCTGCTTAGGCTCAAAATGTAGTGTTGTGCTAATAGGACGTGACTGAATGAGTTTGATGTGTATGATAAAACTTAACTTCCTTCAAATGCAGCGCATAGATATGTTACGCAAAGAAGAAAGCATCAAACCTTTCGCGTCAAATATGTGTAACGTTACATTTAAGGCTAGCGAAATGTTGTAAGGCTTGCGAAATGTCTTATAGTCCCAGTTCAGGTTGTAGATATCAGCCTTATTCACTGAATTGCATTTTCAGGGAGGTTGATATTCAGCTATTACATTTACATAACTGTGACTTATTCATCGATAGTACATATGGCATTGTATATATTGGCAAAGGGCTGGGTTCTGTTTTGCCTGACGTCACCCTGCTGTAGAGAGAAATACACACACACACGCACACACACACACACACACACACACACACACGTCTGGTTCACTATACTTGTAGGGACTCCCCATAGGCGTAATGGTTTTTATACTGTAGAAACTGTATTTTCTATCGCCCTAAACCTATCTCTCACAGGAAACATTTTTACAATCTCAAAAAAACTCATTCTGTATGATTTATGAGCTTTTGTACCCATGGGGACCTCAATTTAGATCCCCACGGTTACACAAGTCCCCATGAGTTGGTGTGTATTCAGGTTTTACTCCTCACCAGTGTAGAAAAACCTACACACACACACCCACACACACCTAAGGCTTAGAGCAGTCACTTATTAGGGATCTCACTTTACAAAAATTATTGCTGTTTCTCTTCATATATTTATACTTTGACATTGTACTTCATTTATAAGTAGTTTTGAGAAAAAAAGACAAAAAAGTCACCTAATAATAATAATAAAAAATAAAATAAAAAAAAACCTAATTAGATGACAAAGTGAAAATGACAATGCTTTGTATTCATACTCTTTATTTTGTATTCTTTAGCAAAAGAAATTCTGCACATTTAACAGATTCAATACATTAAGCAAACTCATCAAAAAGGAAGGACATTTTTTTTTAAAATTTAGATTGGCCAAATTGATTTTATCTATATGAAAGTTATGACAACAACAATAATAATAATAATTTTACAGTCAGTAAAAAATATCAGATATTTTTTTTCCAAGATCTTTGAGAGCAACACCAGTCAAAATGTTATATAATGTTTTTGTCAATAAAACAAGTCTTTATTATAAGAATATATGTGATGAATTTTTAAATGTTACAAAATATTAGAACAGCAAAATATAAAATGAAAACGAGTTCCAAAATAATATTCCTTGAGGTTTAGTAGTCATTTACAAGCAACGTCCCACTCTTCAATTATATTCAATTCCTTAGTAAATTAGACAGTAGATTTTGATTTCTTATTTGATTCAATCAATAAAATCAAACTCATTAAAAATACAAGAATCTTTTTAGATGTTGATTTGCCAAATTGCTTTTAATTTACATTAAACTTACCCAAAAAACCATATGGTTCAAAATTAAATTTACACATACAACTCGAGTAAAAATGAATAAGCGCAGAGGTCAGTAGAAAAATAATTTGATAGCTTTTTTCAAGCTCTTTGAGATTAACATCAGAAGAGTCAAATATATGCTATGTTGTTACTGACTTCTCTAGGCAAGAATAGGCTTACAAGAATAATTGTGATAAATGCATGTTACAATGTGTATTAGATTGCAAAATCGAAAATAAAGTGACCATTTTTTTCCTCATTCCAATCTCTGGAAATCTGAAAGATTTTCCTTGAGGTTTAATAGCCCTTTTACCAGTGGTTTCATAGTGTACACTTGCACCATCCACTCATGACGTCACTAGCGTTGATAGCATGCAAAGAGCGCTGAACCGTTGAACGCCCCTCCCAACCTTCAGGCTCTTCATCACAAGCAGCCTCTGTGCGTTCACTTTTCACTGCATATGATCAGCTACTGTTCCATTGTTTACTGCTGTACACAAGCTCTAGCACTTCACCACCGTTCATACAGAAGGTACATAATAGCAGATTCAGATGGCTCTCTTGATGAAAATAAAACTATGATCGCCCGCTGCAGGAGCGCTTTCCTTCTGTAGGGTTTGCCACTAGGATTCGGGCTATTTGCAGTTTCTCATGTTAGACAAACAGTGACAAACAGTTTTACAGTGTGTAAGCAAATTTAAACCAATGCGAAAAAGACCAGCATGTGTTTAATTGCGAAGGTGTTAACATGGCAGCACTCAGATTTTTGAGTGCGGAGTCCCTTTAAGATATTGCTGCTCTTAAAATCCATGCATATTAAAAATTCATGTTAAAACCACACATTACAGGGACGACTACATGTGCTGACCTTTTAAGATATCTGTGATGTGTGACCTTTGGACTTTTTAACCAGTATATTGAACTGAGACTAAATACTTAAGTTGTAAAAAAACGGACAAAATGGAAAATGGCAAGTATGTTAGTAGTACTGTCAGCCTCAGATGCCCACAATCAATTAACTGACTGTCTGATTCATATTGCACATTAAACTGCCAACCAATATCTGAAAATTGGCAGATCGAAAGTGATTGACTACACTATTTCTGTCTGTTGAATTGCAAAGTCCACCAGAGAACAGAGTCGTGTTTATGAGGTACTGGATTGACGCACTGCATGTTTTTTGGACAAATGCTGCTGTTCAGTTTTTCTAGGCATAAATCCATCTCTGAATAGCATAAAAAACCAAAAATGAACTGTGTCTAGTCAGTTTTCATGTGTTAGACAATCTCCTCCTGTTTAAGTGGACAGTTCTTGACCAGAATAACCTGCAGTGTTGAACCAGACTTTATGCCCTTTGAATGTTATTATCTAAATAGACCTTTGTATTAATTCAGGGTTTCTGTGGGTATTATATCTTCAAAAGGTATTAAATTGGAGCAGAAAGTCACTGCATTAAATGTTGCATGCACTGCAAAAAAGGGAAGAAAAAAAAAACTTCCTCATTGTTTTTGTCTTTTTTTCTTAAATCAAGATACATTTACTTGAGATGCAAAATGAAAATATAAAAGTCTTGTTTTTATGAATTAAGTTTTATTTTTCTGACCCCATTGGCAGATATTTGTTCTTGTTTTAATCATAAACACACTTCATTTTGATAATTTTCTCAGGAAATATGACTCGAGTCATTTCGCCTCTCTATGTATCTTGATTTAAGATATAATTTGTTTTCATTGCTAGATGACACTGCAAAACCACATTTAACATGTGTCATTCTTCTCCAGGGGAAAGAAAGCTTTGAGCAAGAAGAAGCTAAAAAGGCGGCAAAAAGTCAAATCAAAAGTGAAAACAAGATCAAAGGTAAGAAGATTGTGAATCTGACTTTGAATACTGTAGTCTTCATTGCTCCTCATTTGCTGCCCCATTCAAACAGTGACGTTATATGGTTTAAAAGCCATTTTTGGTAGCATCATTTCCATATTCACATTCGAATTTCGAAGAAGTATTCTTTCTTAGACTTCTGCTGTCTGTATTTCTCTGTTAGGCTCTCACAATGCACCAAGACACATGTCTTTCGAGAACTGTAAACCTCTTTCTTATAAATATGTCATTGCTAACGTCAGATAACAGTGGCTCTGTTAGCAAATTTTGAAGTAGCGGTTTCCGTTCGAATCTTCAGTCTGGATTTTCTCTTTGGCCATTTTGGTGCAACTCTAATTCCATTAAGATTTTTATTTAGCTGTTTTGACAGTGATCACAATACAATACGTATACATATTTATATTTTCATGCTTGGAAACCGCTTTTAGTCGTCATCCCAGTAAACTCGCACACATGGTGGAGAATGCGGGAGTGGCGGGGGTCATGATTGGCTGTTGCTTGGCGACCCATGTGTTGCACGTTTCCATGGCAACAGCTTCCTCCATCTCCTGCACTGAGCACCTTTGGTGTGCCTGGCAGCAGGGTTTGTCTCGCTACGTCTGCAGCGTTTACCAGCGCTCAGAAAATAGGCAGAGACCCAAAATGTCTTCTATTGGATATTGTGTATTGTTTTGCCATTCCCCAAAGCATGTGTGGGGGTTAATGCCTGATTGTGTTTGGATATCCTTTCCCAGGCACTCTGTTTTCCCTAGTGGATGTGAGTGCTTCACAGGCAGGGGTACGAGAGAATAATGTGATTGTAGATATGCAGTCGTAATCCTCCTCCCTAAAACCCTGCTGGCTAAGGAGAAAGAGCTCACTTATATTCCTCCTTCTCTGACACGGCCTCCTTAAAAGGAGCTCCGTGCCTTTGTTTGCTCACAAACAGACGGGTGGAGCTTCTCCAGCAGGGAGGTGCTGGTCTTGAAGACATACTGCTGAAATGTCTGTCATGTTCAAGCACTTCAGTTTGCTTTTTTTGATGGATAGGAATGTGTGCTGCTCTTCTGGTTTGATTTCTTTCCTTGTCTGTGATATAGGCCTAGGCCTAATACATAATCACAGACAGCTTTGTGCTACTGATAAATAAGACTGAGGGATATAGATAAAGTGAAATTTATTTAGCTTTTATTTAGGTATATATATTTAATGTTCATGTATTTGCGTTGAAGTGCCTTCAAAAAGGGTGATTTATTTGTTTTCATAGGAATCTATGTATTTCTGTGTGTCATAAGAGCTAACTTGTTGATCAAACATCTGTACTGCTTGCATTAAACATTTTGAAGTATTTGTAAAAATCTAGTTTTGATTGATTTGGTTTCACTTGTGTGTGCGAGTATAATGCAAATGCATAGTACACTGTAAAAAAAAAAAAAATTGCTCGCCATTTCTTTTGTCTTTTTTTGTGTGAAATCTTCTAACAATTGATTAGTGAAAACTGTTTAAACACCAAAATTGTATTTAATTTTTTTCAGTGTAGCAATGTTGACTTACATTTTTTTTTTAATAAATGGAAAATGACTTTTGGGAATCATCAAATTAACTGAAACATTTGAACTGAATCACATAAATTAAAGGGGTCATATGATGCTTTTTTAAAGATCATTATTTGGTGTATTTGGTGTAACAGAATATGTTGACATGCTTTAATGTTCAAAAAACACATTATTTTTCAAATACTGTACATTATTGTAGTTCCTCTATGCCCCGCCTCTCTCAAACGCTTCGTTGAAAACTTGAAATCGCATCATATGACCCCTTTAATCAAACCTACCAGTTTTTTTTTTGCTGACATAATACTTTTGATATGCTAGATGATGGTGCTTAATTTTATCATCAAATTATGAAAAAAATAAAAAAAATACTCAATAAATCGACCATCCCTACACTCAAAAAATAAAATTGGTGTAGAAACAATTTTCACTCAGAAATGGCTTGTAAATTTCACAAATAATTGCAAGGAAATGGCAAGTAACACAATGAATTAAACATGAAATTCTGAAGCAGAAAGACTGAAAAGTATTTTGTTGTAAAACATACTCCAGTAATCGGTTTTACTTACAACTTTGATTTATTTCTACTTATAATGAAACTTAGTTTATAACATTTATACTTGCATAGGTAATGATTTTAAGACTAGCTATTCTCATTTTGCCAGCATTTCTTGTAAGCTGAGATTATTTACCTCTGACCTTTCAGGTGACAGTGATGGGACTTGTGGGTAAATTGTATATAGTATGACTCATGTACCTTTGTACGGACAACTGACTTTCGTATTCTAAATACAACCTTCAGGCCCCTCAGCGTTTTATTTAGCTGAGTTCTTGTGCCATGGTTTGTTACAGCAAGACACCAATGCAGACCGCAATAGCTGATACAATGCAGGTTTAATTTACACATCACTGTGTGTCCGCGATGTGTTACCATCTGTGATTGATATTAACACAGATCACAGCATTATTGTCACCCCCTTTGCTGACACAGAGGCACTGAAGTATATTTTCATCAAATTTTATTCGCCACATAAACAAATCAGGGTTTTTCCAGGCTCAAAATGAGGCGGAGGTGGTACCATCCTGATCATGTGCACACATTGTACCCACCCTTTAACTGGCTGAAATAAAGACTTTTTACATGCAACGTGTTTTAGATATTCTAATAATTAGATGATTGAAGAAAATGACAATCAAGTTAAAATTTACAAAAACAAAACTGTTTAAAGCTGCAGTCCGTAAATTTTGCCTCTGTTGCCATCTCTGTTTGAAAACCTGGAATTGCAGCTGTTAAATACAACATAACAGCTAAAAGGAGCCCTTTTGCAGTGTAGGTCAACATAAACATAACATTAGTTTGTTAAACACTTAAATAATAAAATCTTTATCCGCTCCTTAAAGTCTCCTGGTCCACATCGCTTTGATCCAATATAGTTTTATCACTTATTATAAAGTGTCTTTCTAGAAAACAAACATTTTCTCACAACCTTGCGTGAATTCTTCTGATAGAGTACTAGGCTTACATCATGAAATTTAATCGCAGCAGGGTAACCGGTGCATTAGAGCTAACATTAGCGTCAAGCTATATGAGACTATTTATAAAATTAATACTATGCTTTTACTCAAATCTCACTTCAAATCACCAAAGTGTTTGTAATAACCTCAGATTGCAATCTAATGTGGATTTTGGTCATATAGCCTAAAGGCCTTTCCACACTGAGCGCGAAAAAGCGAAACGAATATCGGACGCGATGATGTGCTGGAATAAAACTACAGATTCCTATGGATGCTTCCACATAGACCGCGAACATTCGCGCACCGAAAATGCGAATGTTTTTTTTTTCCGAACCAGTTCGACGAATCTTTTCAGTTTCGCAAAGCGAAAACACGGGCTGTCCAATAAGATTTGAGCTAGGCCTGGGTGATAAAACAGTATCGATATTTATCGACAGTACACCTTCTTTGATAACGATATAAAAAATTTTCAATATAGTGCACGATATAGGCACGTGCTATGAGTGATGCAGACAGCTCACACAAACAAGAACACATGCTGAATTGAGTGCTTATTCATTCAAAATATTAGAGAAATATAGAAGCTCCATGCGGGGAAGATCTTGATTAGGTGAAAACCAAGCCATTCACACAGATGCATATTCAGCGCATTTTTTTAGACAGACAAATATGATTGCTGCACTCGCGTCTCACACAAGAGATGTAGTCATGCAAAGTTAATGCGTTGACATTATGTGTAGGGCTGTCGCGGTGAGGGAATTTCCCTTGCGGAAATTTTGAGTGGCTCAATAGCGCGGTATGCAGTATTATCGCCATATATATATACATATACACACACACACACACACATACATACATATATCCTCCTGACTAAAAA